TCCTCTGGATGCTGCAGTGGAGGATCCAGTGGTGGGTCTTCAGGAACAAAGATCATAATTGGAGGTGGAAGTAGTGGAGGATCCTCAGGCTATGGCATGGGAGGAGGATCCGGTGGTGGGTCTTCAGGATCAAAGAGCATCATTGGAGGTGGAAGCAGTGGAGGATCATCCGGATGCTGCAGTGGAGGATCCAGCTATGGCATGGGGGGAGGATACAGTGGTGGCAGTGGGGGATCAGGCCAGAAGATCATTGTGAGCTCAGGTGGTGGAGGAGGTGGTTCATCTGGATGCTGCAGTGGAGGATCCAGTGGTGGGTCTTCAGGAGGCAAGATCATAATTGGAGGTGGAAGTAGTGGGGGATCCTCTGGATGCTGCAGTGGAGGATCCAGTGGTGGTTCCTCAGGCCACAAAATCATCATCAGCTCTGGAGGTGGCAGCGGAGGATCCCACCAGTCTATGCAGCAGAAATGCCCTATTGTCATTCCCCACATCGAGTCCCACCAGACCAAGCAGGTCTGTCACTGGCCCCCCAGCCACCAGAAGTAGGAGCCACACACAGCCCAGGCACCCAGCAAGAAGAGCCTCAGCCATGTCACCTTTTTCCCTCCTGACCCAGCTCTGTTTGCTTGTTTCTTCCCATGGTGTCATCTCTTCCCTTGATGCTACATCCCTGTGGTGAGAACTCCAGGATTGTGTCCTGATGAAGATGTTGGGATGCCTTTGACAAGGCTCCACTGCTTTTCCAAAGAGCACTTTTCATATCTAATAAATTGAATAATATCTCAAAGCTACTTTTTTGTGTAACTTGGTTTGTTCTTGTATTCTCTACCAACGTTTGATGGTCTAGAAGTCCAACTGATGAGATGTTTCACTCTTATCTGTAAAGATGATGGGTTCAATAGTGCATTGCTTCAGATGCAGCTCTAAAGCCACCCAGTTTATAGCCCCAGAGAGTTTGTACCTTCATTTTCCCCCTGAGCTCCATGATGGAGCAACAGCACAGCCCAAAACATCAAGCACTCAACATCCCTTTGACATCTGAGCATGGTGCACCCATCCCAGCTCATGGCTCTAAGTTCTCTGAGGTACCAACACCCAATAACCATGTTTGTGGAGAAATTAAATGCTGTTGGGAGATATGACCAAGTCCATCAGGCTCAGTCCTGAAGAGCAGAGATTGGGATTGACTCTGAACAGCAGTTGTGGCTGCTTGGGATGGCCAATAGCACCATGACAATGTCGATGTCCCTGCCATCTTTCCACTTCTCTCCCAGCTTTGCAAACCTCACAGCATCTCTACCCAGAAGGTCAACATCACATGCTGAGTCAACTAAATCAACCCTGCTCCAGGCAGAAGGAAATAAAACCAGCAGCAAGTCCCTCAGGCAGTTCAACAACCTCCAAATCACACCTCCAGGCCTTAACCCCTCCTCACCCAACCTTTTGAAGTCTGGGCAGCACCACCACCCTTGTGCGTTGCTTTCTGCCCAGTAGATGTGGCCTTTTGTCAAAGCTGGGACTCATTGTCCCCAGGACAAAATTGTTCAGACTTAGTCCAACCTGCAAGAGCCATGCTGCGAGGTTGAGCTGGAGCACCAGAGGCTTCAGCATGGACATCATGATGGGCAGCACTACCAGCATGGTCACAGCACGTGTCCCCTGCAGCTCTCTGGATCTGTCTCCTTGAAGTCCCTAGTGCTTGATGGTCTTTCCAAACCAGAGGAAGGACTCAGCATTGGACAATGCAGAAGGAAGGCACAAACCTTCATTAGAGGAGGAACCCAACCACAGTGAGTTGAAGTTCACACCTTCCCAGTGGGACATTCACACCTTCCCAGTTCTCTCCAGGGCCCCTAAGCTTTCTCAGAGCATCTCTAGACCCTCGTGAAATACCCAAACCAAGTGCTTCACTTCTGATCAGCTTTTGGTTTAGATGCAATTATCTTCCTCGGAAAATCTCACACTGGAGCCACCAGTGAGATGCTGGAATGATCAACACGTTGTGTGGCCACCAGATGCTTTCTGAGAGTTTATCTTCCCCTCTCCTGGGTACCTGCTGATCATATCCACCCTTGGGATGATGCCCCAAGCCATGAGCGCTGCCACACTGCTGACCCACAACGTCCCTTCCCCTTCCCTGAGCAGGACTTGGTCACCACCACCCTCTGTCCCACACTCACTAATCTTCTTGCTCAGCATTTCCCTACACCCACCTTCCCATCCACCTCCATGATCTTCCCAAGCGTTGCCACCTTACTTGGGGCCAAAGTGATCCTTCACAGCTCACAAGGTAGGAGCACAGGAATCAGCTCATTAGCAGCAGAAGTAGCAATTACTGCCACGTGCGACGCAACGAGCAGCGGGAAGGAACGTTATCGATCAAACATCATGAGTCAAAGCCAACCCTGAAATCAGAAGTGGATTGGTAAATAAATCTCTGCCATTCCTTGGGCTGTTCTCACTTCCCATATATGCTAAACACCCTATAAAAGTTCTCGTCTCTTCAAGCTCCTCATCCAGTTGACTTTGATCTCCTAAATGTGTTTCCAATGGATGAAGAAGGTAAGTCTGCTCTTTTCTGGGACTTTATGATTCCATATTCATGGCAGATAGCTTCATCTGAGACACGTACTCGCAGCAGTACCCACTCTGCCCAAGTATCCCTAGCAAAGTTCTTGGGATCTCTACAGTTTCTTTATCTTCAGATCACTGGGAAGCAAGGTGAAGTCAGGTCATCAGACTGGGAACCACTGGGATGAGCAGGAAAACCCAGATGAGATGATGGTGGGACCAGAACGTGGTGACTGCACAGTCTTTGCAGTTTTAAAGGTTTTCACAACGTGTGGGACATATTTTTGGTATTATGGGAGGAGGATCCAGTGGTGGGTCTTCAGGATCAAAGAGCATAGTTGGAGGTGGAGGTAGTGGAGGTAGTGAAGCTTATGCTGCACTTCATGATGGTTCCACAACTCCATGGCTGTGTCAATTGCTTATTGTAAAAAGCCTCTGGTGATTCTACTCAACGACCTCTTGCGTGGTAATTTTGACCCACCACTCTTGCAGCAGCTTAAAAACAGAAGCAAGGTTAATCCTCATTATTTTTACAGCTCTGTGGTCATGGTGGTGAAGATGAGTGGAGAAAACTGGAAGTTATTAAATGATAAAAGAATGTATTTCAGATTTTGATTTTCTGGAAGTACACCCTGAAGATAAGAAAGAGAAAAATTATCCCAGCAAGAGTCAAAATATTCTTACATTTGAAGAAGAGCTGGGCACTCTGTTTTGAAGCTTGATGTTGTCTTTCTGACCACACCACCTGTGACCTCCCCACCTGCCATGGTGTAAAAATGAAGCAAAACTGTTCAGCTTTTATTTCTTTCTTTTCCTTCTTTCAGATCTCTCAATATCTCCGACGGAGATGTGCCCGGCGGAACCGGGGTTACGGCAATGAGAGATCACACCACAGACGATTCAACAGCAGCAGGAGCTCCTCAAGCCTCCGTGGACATGGCTCCTTCCACTGTGCTGGAGAAGGTTCAATCGTCTACAGTCGGAGATCTTCATCTGGCCAACCCATGCCAATGTCACCCCCCTACAGCATTGATGGAGGGTACAGAGGTGACAGGGATGGACCTGTTGTAATAACCAGCGGTGACAACGAAGGGACATCTGGCTGGGGGGACATTGGAGGGGGGACAGTCCCAGCTTATGGTATTGGGGGGGGAATAGGGAGCAGCGGTGAGGATTTGGGTCATAACATCATTGGTAGCTCAGGATCCAGTTGTCACAGTGGGAAACCGGTTGTCACTTTGGGAGGAGGTTCTGGATACGGATACCATGGTGGACAGTCAGGCTATGGCAAAACCTCTCCAGCCATGCAGCAGAAATGCCCTGTGGTCATTCCCAAAATCGAACCCCAACAGAGCAAGAAGACCAACCACTGGCCCCTCAGCCAGAAGAAGTGACTGACCCAACAGCTGGCCCTGTTCAAGCAGAAGTCCCCTGGGTGTGCCACAACGTGGTTTTTCCCTGACCGTGTCATTACGATCAGGGAATTTCGCGTTCCTCACGTCGGGCTGTTCCCACTGCTGGGAAAAGTGATTTGTGCTTTGGTGACGGGAAAAGATTCTTCTGTCCATCTCCTTTTGCTCGTGGGTTGAAAAATAAAACTTCACAGTTTGTGGGAAATTCCAGTATCTGAATGGCTTCTCTAATTTCTTGCCCCTTCACTCCAAATACAGCTAGCTACTCAAGAAGTCTTCTTCCCAACACAACATTTATCTTCACAGGATCACACAATCTTCCAATCACACAATATCTGCCAATATTTTTCGTATATATTTTACAACCACAATCAAATGTAATATTTATTTTAACAGAATTAAAAGCCATCGCTTTCAACAGCAAGAGAAGGTTCTTAATTTTTCTCTTGCCAAAATCAGAGCTTCCTCCATCCCATTCCCACCAAATGGAGATGCTGTGTCCTACTGAATCCTGGTTGGAAAAGACCTTTGAGATCGAGCTCAACTGTACCTGTCCACCACTAAACCATATCTCTGAGCAACTCATCTACCCATCTTTTAAAGACCTCCAGGGATGGTGATTCAACCACCTCCTTAGGTAGCCCCTGAGACCCTCAGCATGGGTAGGCAGGTGAGACTCTGCGAGCTACATTAAGGAGATATGCAAAACTCCCAGGTGATTTCCGACTGATTATTATTTACAACGTGACCTTAGGAGTTCAAGGTTGTTTACTTGGAAACAATTACACACCAGGATCCCATCCCAAGGAGATTGCAGGTGATGTTGTAAGCCAGAGAGCACGTAAACCTTGGGCTTGCACCAGTGGCATGAGGCAACTCAAACAAGCTCGTTGGCTTCTTCGCCCTAACCTGCTTCATGACATTTTTTGATAGGATCAGGCCTTAAATTAAGCACAAGGAGAAGATGGTTCCTCTGTTCTGGGCTGATGGGACAGAGCAAGGGAGGTTTGAACATCCAGTGTTGGTTGTTATGTGGTATGTTCCAAAATTGTGGTGTTTTGGGACTGTACTATGAGAGTTTTTTTACTTCTCCAAATATTGGTAATGAAGGAAAAAATGGTAATGAAGGAAAAAATGGTAGTGAAGGAAAAAACCACCCATAGATCTATTTGAAAGGGAGACAAAAGGGGTCGGTCTATTCAACCAAGGAACAAGGGACAGGACAAGAGGAAATGGCCTCAAGTTGCACGAAGGGCAGTTGGGATGGGATGTGAGGAAGAATTTCTTTGCTGAAAGGGTTCTGAGGCATTGGAAGGGGTTGCCCAGGGCAGTGGTGGAGTCCCCATCCCTGGAGGGATTGAAGAGTCGTGTAGACACAGTGCTGAGGGACATGGGTTAGTCATAGGGGACTGGTCAGTGTTGAGTTCATGGTTGGACTCGATGAGCTTCAAGATCTTTTGCAATCCAGGCCATTCTGGGATTCTACAAAATTACTTTGTAAAATATTTTTTATCATTGTTGCTTTCACCCATCTCTGGGGGTTTTGACATTTTCAGCTCAATAAAAATCCAGAAGAAGTCACCCTGCTCTTTGTGAAACACCACAGCTCACAAAAACCAAATGCTTTGAGCTCTGACCCCGTGTTCGGCGCCACGACAGGTATCTTTCATCTTCTAAAATGTTGTAAGACTGTGGTGCAGGGAATATTACACAAGGGTTTTTGCCCCCAGCCATATTAAATTCCATTCTAAAATTAGACAGTGTTATCATTTATTTGAGTCTGTTTCTATTTCTAAAACCCACCATTCATTGTTGATTTTTGGTGTTTTCCCCTATTTCATCTGAGAGCATCAAAAATAGCAAAAGAACTCAGAAATCTCAAAAAAACTTCCCGAAAACTGATGAGAGAGTCAGGAGTATTCAAAAAACTCTTGGCTATTCAACCAACTTGCCCAAAAATTGTACCAAAATTCCAGTCCTTCCTAAAAAAAATAAATAAAATAAAATAAAAT